TTTTTGCATGTTTGTCACACTTAAATGTTTCAGATCATCAAACAAATTTAAATATTAGACAAAGATAACACAAGTAAACACAAAATGCAGTTTTTAAATGAAGGTTTTCATTAAGGGGAAAAAAAAATCCAAACATCTCGACCTCGTTCACGACAGACTTCATCTATGAACACATGAATCAAGAGAAGAGTCGTTTCTACGTCTCCTCGTTCTATAGGTTTAATAAATCACAGCGTTGTGTCTCTGTCCTTCATATTAGATTCTGTTCTACAGACTGTACAGCACTCAGGCGCCCTCGTGTGGCTCAGAGGTGAACTGCAGATAGAAAAACGTGAAATTAAAAGACGATGTTAGAAGTTCTATGATTTATTAGGAGACACTAATTAAAGCTCTGATACGTCTACATGACGATATGTTGAGTGTTGATGGAGCGGCTACAATGTTAGCTTAGCATAGCACTGATCAAGTTTATTGTGATTAAAGTAAGTGTTCATAGAGCTGTAATAAACCAGCTGACATGTGACTCACGAGACACAGAGAACACTCTGGATGATTTTAGAACTTCTTGTGTTGCTGCTGAAGAAATATTATCTGTTTACAAACAAGAATAATGAAGAAACGTGGATTCTTCTCTTAGAGAAGAACCGATAAGAGCCCTAGTATCGTTAGTCTTTTAACAAAGGACCTCTCTTCTGATGTGGAGCTGATTATTTGTTAAAAACTAAAACCCCACAGACCTGACGTCGTCCCACGCCTGGAAGACGGAGAGCAGGGCCACGTGGTCAGAGAACCGGCTGCCGGAGAAGTTTCTGTGAACGAAGCCGAGACGTTTCCCCTCACTGACGAAGGGCTCCGGGAAACAAGAGGCGGCAGAGACGGTGCACATGGCGTCTCCAACACTAGAGGGAGACATTGGTTTATTACAAGAAGAAGTAGAAGAAGTAGAAGTAGAAGAAGAAGAAGAAGAAGTAGAAGTAGAAGAAGAAGAAGAAGAAGAAGAAGAACTTACTGGAAGATACAGCCCATGATCATCATCTTCCCCAGACGAGGCTCGATGGGGAGTCGAGCCAGAATCCGTCCCAGAGGAGTGAGTTCATCGTTGGTGTCCAGAGCGTCCAGCTCTAAAGGAACAGTTACACTTATTAGTTCTGTTCAGGGGTTACATCATAACGCGGTACGTTTGAGTTCTGTACCTC